AGCGATTTGATCGGAAGGGATAACCAAACCGACCCGTTCGGCTAGAGGTAAAATAGTAGAGAGATAGCGCGGAACCTTATTGATAGGAATAGGAACCAATATATCATCATAGAAGCTGTAAACTGGCAACTCTGCGAGGCTAGGTTCCAGTTTCCCGGCGAGACGGAGAAGAGTAGACAGGCCGGATTGGAGCGAAGCCGGACCGTGCAGAAGTCCGAATGCAAGCCTATCGCATCGATACCATCGGCCTGCGCCTCGGATATAGAGGTAACCAAGGGATGACACTGCATCTCCATTTGAATCTGACCGTGCCATCAGCTGGAAGCGATAAAAAGCTTTACCAACATCGAGGGAGAGAAGGCCTAAGTGACCTTCTCCAGCACGAGAAAAATTTAACCGGAGACCCAGTAGGAACTCAGGAACAGAGTCGCCGGAGTAGGAAGCTTTTCTAGCCCCTCCAGCCTTGATAACACGATTGACTCCAACGGCCTGAATGACCGGTCTAACTTTGAAACTGGTTACTTTAGTAGGACCGTCAGGTACGGAGTCGTCAACCTGCTTAACAGGGAAGCTGACCACCTTTGGAGCAGCGGTGTCACGGATTACAGCATCGTCATCGATCGGCACCCAGTAGCCGGCGTCGACAAATTTACTCACAGCCTTATCGTACGACTCTTTCTCGGCCAAGCTCAATCGATTGTAGATCTTGAATCCGAAGTCCACGACATTGCCAGGCCAAGGAGAATCGTTGTTATCAGACTCAGAGTTGCCGACCAGCGGGGAAACCGAAACATCAAAGCAGAACCTTTGACTAGGGCACTCCTTGGTTTCCTTCGCAGATAATTCTCTCAAACGAATAGAGAATCCTGGGGCTGCCTCGATCGGTTCCCGCTCCATAGAAACATTCTCCAAGATGATCCGATCGATCTCTTTCCAGCTTTTATTTTCGCAGTGTGGAGCTGGCGGAACCCGTAGTTTCTGTGAGGATTCATGGTTAAGGAGTAAGTCGGCACCGTGAGGCAAGGAATATACCAATACCAAACCTCACGTCAGAGTACAAGTTACCCAGAGATACTCGTAATACTACTACATCTTCTACTGTGAGACTGTCACCGGTTATACCTCGCAGACTGAACGGCTTATCTTGAGGAGTACCAACAGACATGATGATCGACAAACGATCTTGAAAC